GATACTTTCATGACAAAGAGCACCTTAGGAACTTCATGTATACCAAACCAGCACTCCAAAAAACATTAGAGAATATCCAAGGAAAAGACAATGAGGATCACAACCCCAGGAAGCACAGCAAAATGAATCCATGGGCATGAAAAGAAATTAAATGCAAAGGGGGAGAATCCAACAAAAAGAAAAAGTCATGACAATGATAAGCCAATACATATCAGTTATAACCGTCATTGTCAATGGTCTCAATTCACCAATTAAAAGAAATAGATGGGCAAAATGGGTTAAGAAGCAAGATCCAACAATATACTGCATACAAGAAACAGACTGAATTCAAAAAGAAACTCATAGACTGAAAGTTAAAGTGTGGAAAACAATACTCCATGTGACAGGAACTCCAAAAAAAGCAGGAGTAGCTATCCTCTTTGCAGACCAAGTGAATTTCAAACCAACACTGCTTAAGAGGGACAAAGAAGGACACTACATCTTTGTAAACAGAACAATCCAAGAGGAAGAGATGACAATCATAAATATCTGTGTACCAAACACTAGTGCACCCAACTATATAAAACAAATACTAACAGACAAGAAAAATCATATAAACACTAATACAATAGTAGTGGGGGACCTCAATACCCCACTGTCACAAATACATCACTAGACAAAAAATAAGTAATGAAATACTAGAACTCAATCAAACTTTTGAACAAATGAACTTAACAGATGTTTACAGAGTGGTCTTCCCCAGAAAATCAGAATATACGTTCTTTTCAGCTGCACATGGGTTGTTCTCCAAAATAGACCACATATTCACTCATAGAATATGTTTAAGTAAGTGCAAAGGAATTGATGTCATCCTCTGTATATTATCAGACCACAGTGCAATGAAATTGGAGATCAGTAGGAAAAGAAACCACAAAAACTACATAAACACATGGAAGTTGAACAACACACTTCTGAATAATCAATGAGTCACAGAGGAAATGAAAGAAGAAATGAGACAGTTCCTTCAATGACAATGACAATACAACATATCGGAATCTATGGGACACAATGAAAGCAGTGTTACGAGGGAAATTCATAGCAGTGAATACGCATATTAGGAAAACAGAGCAGGCCCAGTTAAACAACCTGATACTGCACCTCAAGCTTCTAGAAGAAGAAGAGCAGGCAAACCCAAAGCTCATACAAGGGAGGAAATTATAAAGATTAGAGTAAAAATCAATGCAATGAAGACTAAGAGAGTGATACAAAAAAATCATTGAAGTTAAAGTTGGGTCTTTGAAAGAATAAACAAAATTGACAAACCCTTAGCCAACCTTATCAGAAAAAGGAAAGAAAAGGCCAAGATCCATGCAATTAGGAATGAAAAGGATGGAATCACAACAGACCCAGCAGAAATCTAGAGGATCATCAATACCTACTTCGAGAATCTATATGCCAATAAGATAAAAAACACAGAAGAAATGGACAGATTCCTAGATACATATGAATTACCAAAGTTGAACGAAGAAAACCTAAAAATTTTAAACAACCCAATATCAATCAATGAAATTGAAAACATAATTAAAAACTTACCAACTAAGAAAAGCCCAGGTTCTGGCGGCTTCACTGCTGAATTCTACAATACATTTACAGAGGAACTACTGCCACTACTGTTTAAAATCTTGAACAAAATTGAAAGGGAAGCAATACTCCCCAAATCATTCCTGGAAACAAGCATCACCTTGATCCCCAAAGCAGAGAAAGACTCAACTGAAAAAGAGAACTATAGGCCAATCTCACTAATGAACATAAATGCAGAAATCATTAATAAGATACTGGCAAATAGAATGCAGAAGATGTACAAGACGATCACACACCCTGAGCAAGAGGGATTCATCCCAGGGATTCAGGCATGGTTCAACATATGCAAATCAATCAATGTAATACACTGTATCATTAGAGCCAAGGACAAAAACCATATGATCATCTCAATAGGTGCAGAATAAGCATTTGACAAAATCCAACACTCATTTATGATAAAAACCCTACAAAAAATTGAATAGACAGTCTCTACCTCAATTTGATAAAAGCCGTCTATGAAAACCCAACAGCCAGTATCATACTAAATGGTCAAAAGCTGAAATCCTTCACACTCAAATCAGGAACAAGACAAGGATGTCCACTATCACCACTC